GCTGTTTTTTTTTTTTAAATTATACTTTTATATCTAGATTACCTGGCTTCTACTATTTAATCAACAGATAGTAGCCAAGACAGTTGGTGCTAATATTGAATATGTTGAAGATGATCTAGATGAAGAAATTTTAGTTACAACTGAACATCCTATTTTGATTGAGAACACTACAAATGATGATGATAACTCTCATAATACTGTAATTATTGAAAATGAAACATCTACTCATTTGATTGATCAAAACAATATGGATAAATCTGAATTATCATTAGATGATATTATTGAATTAAATGTCGGTGGTCAACGAATGACAACATTTCGTTCAACTCTTACTGTTGTACCTAATTCAAAATTAGCACGTATGTTTACTAAAGACAATGAAACTAAAACGAAATCAATAAGTAAAGAAAATACTGCATATTTTCTTGATTATAATCCTGTACAATTTGCATATTTACTTGATCAATTACGTGCAATTAAACGTATGCCAAATTTTGTACCATACGAACTTGATATTAAACAACCAAATGTAGATGTACGTTTTAATTTCTCTAATATGCTCAATGAACTTGGATTGAATCGTAAGTTAAATGAAATAGAAAAATGTTCAAAATTTTCATCATATTTTCTTCTTTTTTTTGTTATAGCGGAACGTTTCTTGTCACCAATCGTTGGTGCTCATCTTAATTTGAAGACAAATTCTCTCATTGGATGGAAAGAATGTTATCGTAGTAAATATAATACACCATTCAATGCTACAGTATTGACGAATACATGCAAAGGCAAACAACTTCTTATTGGTTGTCGTTCTGTTAATGACAAAGAAACTTTAACTGTAGCTGGTGTAGGTGAACGTGAAAATATTTTTAATCCATGCCCGGTAAATGGTCAGTGTACAATCGATAAGAAAAATAATATAGGCTTCTATTATGTGGCGGATTATGTCTGGGGTTTCGAGGCACGTCCAAAGGTAAGAATTTATATGAATTGACTACGATATAATCTTTAGATGGCAGAAAATCAAAGACTTAAAAAATAATAATTAGATCATTATTTCAACTCAACAATAAGATATGCACAGGATCATATTTTGAAGCGTGTGTACAGATAAAAGATCACTATCGTTCGAATTTTAGCCATTCTTGATATTTAAATTTGAAAAAAAGCTTATAATGAAATTTATTTATGTAATATAATTTTATATATTATAGGATTGGGTCGATACTAATTATTATGGACATAGCATGCAAACAGCTTTTTCACATACGTGTGATTCACGTGATGATCATTCTGACTATCGACTCTGTTGGTCGTTTTCTTCGGGTGTTAGCCGTGGTGGTGGAGATAGATGTGGAAGAGAAAAGAATCTTCACAATTCGAAAGAATGGGAACGTCTCATTTATGAAACTATTTAAACAATTATTTATATTATCTTGCATGTTATGAAACTAGATATTTAGTTATATACATAGATATAAATGATAAAGACTGAATAATAATTATGAACTCGATTGTAAAGATTCTTGTGTGTATAAATACGTTTTTAATAAAAGTTTGAATCAGAACGATATAAAAATAAATAATTTGAATAGAACTCATTTGACTTCTTCACCGGAAAAAAAAACATAGTCATATTTCTAGCTATGCTAATAAGCATTGAGAGAAACTATATTTAGAGCGTCTCTCAATAAATTTAAGATCATTTTCATACTTGTGTTACTTACCATCATCTTTTTTAATGCATAGCAATTCGGACAACTACTCATTTGAATATTAATTATATTGGTCATCTGTATTTGAGCGTAAGTTATGATAACGAAAGCATATTTCAAAGGGTAGAGAATCCTCACAACAAGATAGTCACTGTCTCTCTGGGACCAGCACAAACATTTAAAAGCAGTGTTGAAGTATAGGGATAGGAATTTGGACCCACTTCCCCCCCGATTCATCCCCCCCCCCCCCCCCCACACACACAGATATTCCTAACAACGCCTCTCCGTCATTTTACAGACTGTAACGGATGCCTCAGCAACGTTCCTTGTCCTCCTCAAGAATGGGAAAGAAATGTATCCCAAAATAGATTGAATAAAACAGTCTCCGTGTAATTAGCAATAGCAACTACATCGTGTTGCACATTTTAATTCCGCTAGGGTTGCACTAACAGCTTTTCTTATTGGGAACAACATCTTTCATGGTTGAGAGTGGCCGGTGAAGGATGCCCCAAGTTTTTTTTTTTTCTAAAACGTCATAAAATTAGACAAAGCGCAAACAACACGTGCAATTTTCGTTATCTTCTTGAAATAATCGATAGGTCCTCAATAGATACGGCCGAAAATAGCATAAGTTTTGAGGCGTTGATTGATATTCTCAATAACAGCTCTTGCACTGGAAATACTCTTATTGTAAAGATTATCTGCTGTTGTCAATATACCTCCTCGAGGTATTTTTCTTGGAGTAGCTACGTCTTTTCTCACCAATTATTTGAACATCTTTTCTGGTATGCATTAATGATCTTGATTCTCTTAAAATTGTGAGATCATGTACACTTTCATGGTAACACTGAGACACATGAATAATTTTATGTTGGAAGTCGCAAACTATCTGTACTTTAAATTCATAATTTGTCGAGTTTTTTTTTATGATAATAAAATTTACCTTTCTCTCGGTCTCCTACTTTTTCAATGCAACATCTTATTTCAAAAAGTTATTTAAGGTTCTCAATCTAACGCTGAACTCGAAATCAATGTCACATCGAACGTCTGCATTGTATACCCTCGAGAATTGGAAAAATTTATGGACACCTTCCATATGATAAGTGAATTATGGAAGGAAAATCTAAATGAAATATCTTGAATTATATGATGTCAGAAATATACTTAAACATGTCATTCCTATCACTCTATAGGACTCAAAAGATAGATATTTACTTGGTCTACATGTGAAATATATTTGATAAAAATATCATATTGCTCCTATGTATTATTGAGGTTTTGAGCAGAAAAAAACAAAATTGGGGTATTCTTCACTAGTCATTCCCAGTCGTGTAAAACTTGCGTGGAATGTTATATTGTCACGACTCATGTACTCTAAATAGATGTGGTCAAGATGGTTCCGTGCCCGGGACGAAAAACGATTGATCTCACTCATGTCTACTCATAACTAAACATCCTAAGAGTATTGAGTTATATCCTACTGTTTGAATTCTCATCTTATACTAAACATATAATAAAATTCATTTAAGAATATCTTTCCTATCACTAATTTATCTTTAATTATACTCGTACTATTGTATTACAGCTTCTTTGATTTCAACATCGACATATTGAAGTTGAATTTTATTTGTCAATGTAGATACAAGTACAAAACACGATATCATTTTATCATTCAATCAAGATTAATACATTGAAAATTTCGAAAACAACCTATTGAAAATAATTGAAATTTTCTTTAAAATTATTGTTCTTCTTCATTTTTGTCCGATGATCCAGCATCATCATCATCATCTTCATTTTCTTCATCTTCGTCTTCGTCTTCTTCATCATCTTCTTTCTCATCATCATCTATAGAAAAACAAACAAACAAACAAACATAAAAAAATCTTTTTCAAATCGAATAAAAATATAATTACGTTTTATTTTACGTTTTTTCTTATCACCATTAGCTTCTTGTTCAAGACGAGCTTTATTAACAAATTCAGTAAATATCTTTGAAATATTTCCTTTTAAACGTTCATTAGCAGCAATTAATTCTGCATAAGAAGACGATTGATTTGTTGTAGCTGAATTAACTATAGATTCTTCTAATGTTTGATAGAAATTTTCTGATTTAACACTTATTGTTGCTTGAACTTTTTCTGTAGGCATCTGTATTAAGAAAATAATAAATATACTTAAAAATTCGAGAAATTTATTAAACGAAATGTAACAAAACAAAATTTTTTTTCAAGTTTATTTTTTTAATTAGTAATTGAGACAAACAATAATTAATAAATAAAAATTTCGATTAATATTCACGCAACAAAGCGAAAATATTGTCTGGCACATATCAAACTAGATCATCGAAGAAATATAAGTGTTCTAGATCTTTTCAGCATATACATTCGACATTATCTCGATCTTGTTAACTGCCATCAACACCAGACATTATTCTGACATAATCAACAAATAATAATGTTATATTATCTTGTTTACGAAGTAGATCCAATAAACATGACAGCCATAGATGAAAACTAAATACAATAAAAACAGAATCATTTTTAAATTTATTTGTTTAGTTTTTTTTTTTTAATTTTGTATAATTAAATTCGATATTCATATATATAATTAAATATATGATAATAAAAAAGAACGAATTTAATTAATTTTATTTTCCAAGCGTAAATTTCGAACAATGCCACAGATAGAAATCCAGGTGCATGTCGTACTCAACAACTTGGATAAAAGAAAAAACAAAAACGAAGAAATTATTGTGTTTTGTATTCTTACCTATCATGAAAAATCAATATGAATTAATTCCGATTACCACAAAAATATATCCAATTATTAAAAATAAACCATGGAACAGTACGAATCATTACATTATTCGTCGAAATAAGAATATGAATGGTTAGAAAGAAAATGGAGGACATTGTGCATTTATACGCATACAAGGAGGATGGAAAGAGCCTATTGGTGACCATTATTTCGAGGTATACTCGTTACTTACGTTGCTTGTATATTATCATCTGTATTTATAAACTTCATAATTCTCCATTTCCTCTTACACTTATTCAGTATCATAAATTTAAGTATTTATTCGACAAAAAATCTAGAAGATATATATGTAATCTGAAGACAAAGCAATTGTCCTGAAAATATTTTGAATTTTATTCTATGACTCTGGTTTTTCATTCAACGTATACAAACACACAAACGAAATAAGAAATATAGACAATCAAATGCTTCAAATATACAATGGCAAAAAAATATAACAAACAAAAAAAAACTATATATATTTTGCGATCATGATAAATGATCATCGTTATCACTACTGTCACTTGATGAAAGAACTATGACTTCAATATCAGCTGATTGTAATTCAGTATTTGATGTTCGTTTTGCTCGTTTTCGATGACGATGATCATCACTATTTGATAATAATGATAACATAGAACTATTACTTCGTTTTCGATTTAAATTTTGTTCATTATTATTACTATTATTATTATTATTATTATTATTATTATGTGATATTAAATTATATGTAATTCTTGCTAGTTCAGTCCAATAACTTCCATCATCTACATTTGATGCCATTAGAGATTGTAATGAATTTACATTAATAAATGATTGACTAGTACTATTTATTTGTTGATTTTCATCAATAAGATTATTTTGATTAAATAAATCATTTGAAAGTGGAGTAATTGGAGCAGATGAATTAGTATTTTGAATATTAATGTCGTCTATTTCATTTTCATCTTTACTTTCACTTCCAGATGAAAGAATAACACAATCACTTGTAATTGATTGACGACGAGATTCTTCAACGAGAGAGAAAAATATTTAATCTATCACAAAAGATTTTAAGGTTTTATATACACAATAAAGCATATAAACATTAGCCTACTAGAAAAGATAAATGTCGCTACAGTTAATTACTTGGTGATATAAGTCAAAATTGATATAGAGATTTTAAGAAAATTATATCAAGATTTTCTGAGATCTTTCTTTGTTTCTTACAAAATTTTGAACAAAGGCAACATATATCTAAACAAGATAGAGAGGTTGTTTAGCTTTATTAGCATTAAAATAACATAGCTGGCAACAGATAAAAATTCAGATCTCAACTAAATAAATTTTCAAATTTCTAAGGAAAATGATTTTTTTTTGATTCATCAAAATTGAAATACACAGCCAAAGAACAAAATTTCGGATAAAATTACCAACAAGAAAGAGTATGTTTTTAATAGCATTTGAGAGGTCAGTAGTTTTCTTACTGTTGATAGAAGATTAAAGCATCGTATTAAAGAGTTAGCTATAGTCATATTAACAAAACTTCTCAGGTGACATACTCATTTTCTCAATACACACTAAAATGAAATATATCGTAGTCTATCCACTAAGCATTTATTCACCAGTTTGCTACAAAGATTAGATGCAAATTGCGCATTCGGAATGTGTCACAAAGTATGACACATTTTATGAAACACGATCCTAAAGGAATGTTGAAGTAAAGGAGTAGAAATTTGGACCCATGGATGTAACAAATATCCATAGCAACGTCTCTCCCAATGTCACAGGTCATATATCAATAATGTTTCGCTAAAATATATGAACTGCTTCCTTATTACACTTCCCAAGGTTTAGGTAGAAAGGTGATGAAGCAATGTGTCCCAAAATAGATGGAATAAAACAATCCGCATATGATCAGCAATAGCAACTTCATCATGTTTCATATTTTAGTCTCACAGGGATTGCGCTAACAGTTTTTCTATTAGTGTGCATATAAATGCATTCTTACGAGGGAAATTTCCCAACTGATTAATCATATTTCAGTTGAGACTATGTGCGTTATATAGATCTTAACGAGCTATGAAGCAGTGTCTTACAATAGGATAACGCAAAAATCTGAAACTTTTACAATAAACTACTATAGTCAAAATCTCTCTTTGTGTCAAGTTTCGAATCAAAATTTGAAAATCAGTTTTTCGAGCATTACTAGAGGAGACCATTCAAAAAGCCAAGAATTCTTTAATTTAGAATACTCCCATTTTATAAATTATTTTAAACTTACTAATTGGAGAATTATTTATTAATTCATCATCATCATTCTCATCATTATCGTTTTGATGTAATGCAGTAGCAATAACAATGCCAGTTTTTTCTTGTTTAACATTATCTAATATATATTGACAATCGGATAAAATTTTTGTTGATGAATCAATTTCAACAGTTGAACAATTTGATGGAACATTCGAAAGAATTGATTGTAAACGTTTATCAACACATAAATTATCATATGAAGCTGGTTTTTTACATATTGGACATGTCCATTGTAAACGTCGTTCATTCATTTGAAGAAATGATCGAAGATCAAAACATGTTAAATGTGAACAATATAATGATTTAGCTGGTACATTAATTAATGATTGTGTTATTGGACAAATTAATGAAACACGATGTTGTGTTGCCATTAAACCAATATCTTCAATTTCAATATCACTATCATTATCATTAATATTTTTTAATTGTATATCACGTTTCAGAATACTTTCAAATAAATAATCTAATGATATACAACGAACAAATTGAATTTTTAATGTATAAGATTTCGGTAAATTTTTCAATGACATATTTATTGGTGATTGAAGCCAAAGATAATTTAGTGTATTATGTATATTTGATTTAGGTATTATTTTATCTGTTATATCAGTTGGAAATACTATTGAATGAGCTTGTGAACCAATTGTTTTTGATACATTATTATTGATAACTGTTTGACCCTAGAAATCAAAATAATTTTGAGTTCAATTTTACGATGTGTCAAATTACTGATCTAGGATCCTGAAAAATCTGAACCTAGTTTTATTAGAGTTAGAATAAGTATTGTATCCTGATTATTTTTCACACCTGCTCAGGTATCGAAAATTTTTTTTTGTCACCATTCTATTAGAAATCTTTATAGTTTGATAGCGTGAAGTATACTCACTGCAAATATCATATTTACTCAGATAATAAGAAAGATTCGAAGCATTGTCTGAGTGCCTTAAAAACTAGTTTTCGATCTAGACGGACATTCAAATCTCTTTGAATTCATTGAGAACTTCTAAGATATTCAAAACTTTTTTCTATTAATAAATGCCAAATATCATCCTATTTGAATTATATTGTTACAAATAATGATTTTTTCAGTCTTATGAAATTATAGTTTCTACGGATACATTATTGACCTATTTTTACTGAATGTGCCCTTTTGCTCTACTCTCTATACTTCAAAAGTAATTTGTGTCTTCGATTGACTTCTAAAAATGTCATATTTGAGATCAGCAGAAAAAACTGAGTCGACGTATGTGGATTTCAAATTGTTTCTGCGACTTTTTTTTCAGTCAAATTTTCACTCTTGATCCCCATCAAGGATATAGGGAAAAGTGAACTTCATTAAAAAAGCCGTTTTGACAGTGAAAACATAGCTCTAGACTTGTAAGATACCATTTGAAAACAAAAGCAGAGGTGTCTAGATAATGAAATAGTCGTTTTGATGAAATTCATTTTTCCGTATATTTTTGAGAGAGATCAAGGCTGAAAATTTGACCGTAAAAAGAAGTCGCAAAAATATTTTGAAACTTACATAAGTCGACTCAGTCCTTTTTTGTGCTGTTTTCAAATATCACATTTTTAGAAGTCAATCGAAGACACAAATTACCTTTGAAGTATAGAGGAAAGAGCAAGATGTCAAATTTCAAATTGAAAAGGACACATTTAAATTTATATACAGTAAAAAAACTTCGCTGGTGTGCCTGTAGAAACTAACTTCATCAGACTGAAAAAATCATTATTTGTAACGATATGAGTCGATTGGGGAAGTATTTGACACTGATCAATAGAAAAATATTTTAATATCATGGAAGTTCTACATCAAATGAGTCTATTTTCCACGAATTCAAACCGGGTTTTAATGGACTTTTAGGTCAAAAACTGGTTTTTAAGGCTTTCACAGAATACTTAAGATCTTTCTTATTATCTGAGTGCTTTCGAAAAACAAAGTGACATTTGCACTCAGTGCACTTCACGCTATCAAATTGTAAAGACTTTTAATAGAACGACGATAAGAAGGTTTTTTTGATATCTGAAGGAGGCCCCCAAATGTGAAAAATAATCAAGATTCAACACCTATTCTCACACTAATAAGACTAGACACAATTTTTTTTGGATGCTAGGCCTATCATTTGGCACAACTCCTTTTAATAATACTAAACTTACATTACATTGAACGAATAAATAAGGTGGTAAAACATCATTTTGTTCTTCAGATGTAATGGTTGGTGCAATACGAAGAAAAATTTTAGCTATACCTTTAAGTATAAAATCAACATCGAAATCAGTTAAAATAAAACGTAAAGGTGAAAATTTATTCCAATCGACAGGTATATTTATACATTCAATTGTTCGAAGTTTATCATAAAAAGGTAAACGAACAGATTGTACAAGATTAGGTGATGGTAAATTATCAATTGTTGAATTTGATGATAAAATAATTGGATGTTGATTATGATAATTATGTGATGTCGATGATATAGGAAGAGATACTGATGGACGTTGTGATCTTGTTGAATTAAGTCGTGTTATATTTATTTGATGAATTTTATTTATTAATTGTGGAGTTAAACTTGAGCATATAAGAATTTTACAACGTTGAAGTAATTCACGTTTATTACCTTGTCGTGAAAGACATGCATATTCAAGTAAAGCCTAGAAAAAAGGGATATTTATGTTTTGAAGTTTAAAAAGAAATTAAATTTTACTTGTAAATCTGGCACACGATAATTTCTAATTACTGCAAGTGCATTTTCTTTTAATTGTAAATTTGATGATGAACTCATTATTTTATTTTTCTTTTTTTTTTGAAAATTCAATTCATTTATAAAAAAAACAATTTTATTTCATTGATTTTAAATAATTTTTTCTCTCTGAGAAATAAAACTCATTGTATGTTTTATAAAAAAAGAGGCTTATATCAAGAATGCATATGATTCGCTTGTGTTTATCATGAATAGTTTTTTGTTTTAGTAATAGAAATGAAGATATTCATTATGAGTGTTTTGTTTTTCAAAAATTTTTCCATAATTGAATTTTGAAAAATAACTCAGTTTTTATTTGTTTGATTGGATTATGTTTAATATATGCACCACCTTCTACTGCTATCTATCGTATTGAGAGACATGCATAATTTCACAATCGTACCTACAAAAAATGGAAGCTTATCGAAGCTGGAATTAACAAAAAAAAAAAAAGAAACTTGATCACACCTGTATGAAAATAGAAAAAATTACCCATATCGTCAAAATTGACTCAGTTTTGATGGACTTCATACCGTAATATAGTCTGAATTAAAAAAAAAATAATTTACTATCCGTTACATTGTATAGTTTCCTTTATCACCGTAAATAGTAGTTTAGGAATGTGAAAGTTTTCTCTAGGCTAGTGAAAAACTATTTGTGGTCGTCATAAAAAGTATTAAAAATATATTTCACATGTTGGCTGATAATCACAAAAAGCAAAACTAGATACTTTAATGTCATTGAATCCGATAGTTCGCATCTAATAGGATCCGATGGAGTAACTTCGACCTGGGAACAGAGGGTATTTGTTGATACTAATTATAGAGTTTTTTCTTTCATTTATATCGATCTCAAGAGCAAAATGACTGATATATATTATGATATAAAATCTTCATTCATTGGAAACTTTTATGGATACGATGATAAAAAATCGTTTTTCAAAGTGGTTTAATCCCGATGTAATCTCACGATGAATCGTCCTAACAAATCACGATTGTGTTTACATGAATAGTTCTCTTAATAGGTTATTTATTCATATCTTACAAGGAAAGCCCTCCAAATAATAAATTCCTTTGCAATCGAGACTACTCATATTGTGACAATCGTGGCAATTTTGTTGGTTTTGAAAAAAGTTGCAGTAGAATCATAATTACGGTGCAAGAAATAATTTTTCAAGGACTGATGATAAATCGAATTTAATCACTGATTTCAATAATTGATTAGGAATCGTCAATTAATTAGAGAGATATTCGAAGTCGACAAAAACTGAAAATCAAATATTATTTCTATAAATTTTTTTAAATACAATCATAGAGATATGAAATCAAAAGAAAAATTTAGCTTCGACATGGTTGTCATTAATATGACATAAATAAGACTGGACAATTTTAGAAAACAATCGCACTAAATTTCGCATTCATTTACATCAAAAGATGTTTTTGATAATTTAAATATTCTCATTCAAGTAATTTTTTAATTAGAAGCTTTCTATTTTTAGATTGTTTTCTCATTTAACCATGTGTAATTGCATGCCATATGGTTTTTTTTATTTTTCTTACATGTTTTATTCATATAGAATAATGTATATAGCCAATTTTTGAATAAAAAATTTCGAGGATATGGACATGTGCATTATGTAGACTCAAATGAGCTATGAATATCTCGAAAAGAGTTCGTGTTCTTAGCTTATTGCTACGGAGATACTGCAGTTTTACAGTACTTTGTAGATGAATACCGTGGTAACAAAGAAGCTGATTTTCAATTTGAAACTTTGTTTATATAGAGGTTTTAACAAGAATATATTTTTGTGAATGTTTTTTAGATATTGTCGCTATTCCTATCCTGAAATACAACTATGGTAATAGCATGTCTTTTACATCGCTCATACAAATCGACAAATTTAATGTCTTGTTTCACGATACGAGCAAATCAAAAAATACCTCAACTTTTACAATAAACTACTCTTTTTAAGAGTACTTCTCCTCTTTTTGACCGTTTCTGGTCTTCGAAAACAGTACAACTGATCAAGCTGAAACTTTTACCACAAATCGAGGATCAAATGTAAGGAGACACATGCTCGAGAAAAAAATATTAAAGTAGAATTTTGCGATGTTCTTTATTCAATCGAACTGAAATTTTTACCATTGAAACTTAGAAGTATGCTCCAGAGACGAAATCTATCGTTTTCATTTTTAACTTTCCTATTCAAAGTTACAAGATCCTGAAAGTCAAGATTCCGACTTTAGCACCGAACATTTAGGTGTTACTCTCCTAAAAAAGAAAGTGAAAGTTTTGGAAACGCTTCAAATTACCTCTGAGATATAGTCTTAGGTATCTTCGAAAAAATGTTTAGCCCGATAGGATAAAGTTTGAGTTCCTCGAACACGTGCCTCCTTATTTTTGGTATTCTATCTGTTGTGAAAATTTCAGTTTGATCAATTATACTGTCCTCGAGAACCACATATGATCAAAAATAGGGGAGTACCCTTAATGCCTGTCTCTATTCAAAGTTTCAAGTCGAAATTCGAAAATCAGTTTGTTGGTTATCATAACATTCATTTAAAAAATACTGTAAAAGTGCAGGATCTCTGCAGCAATTGTCTCAGGATACGAACTCTTTTCAGGATATTCATAGCTTATTTAGGTCGATATAATCTCGATTCAAAACCGATTTATCAATCGTAGGACTTTCCTCATTAGTAAGCTTTTATATGTTCGAATTCAAGTTTTAATTTTCGGGCCCAAATCTGATGAATTCCGCTAATTGATTTCAATACATTCAAACGATGATTCGTCACCTGAATTCTACTTAACAATCAAGTCTACTCAATTGTTTGTATTCAGAATAATTACAAATGATAGGATAAAACTTGGAATCTTGTGTCTTTATATTTGAAGATCAGAGTGATATTTGTTTTTTTTTAAATAAATTTAAGCATTATTTTGTTTTGAAATATATAAACATCCTTCGTTGTTACTATATTGATTCTACAAGATCATTCATTTCTACGCATCTTTCCAAGTAAAAAATAATATTTCCTAAAAGATCTACATTGGTTCTCATTGCACTTAGATTAATTATATTTTCTTATTAAATCTGTGGTATTATAACAATGTTATGATTTCAATTATTTCTATTCACAAGTTCGTTTTCAAATCTATTACATTGTTTATTATAGACAGTAAAACAAATCTAGGAATGATAGAAAATAGATGTTGCAAATATTATTCTTGAATTTTTAATATAAATTTTATTCATGGATGCCCGGAGGTCGATTCAAAGATTTTTTTTGCTAAAATTGACCTGATTTGGGAGTTGGGATTAAGTTTTTTTTCTTTTTGGAATGCTGTAGAAAAACAAAACTTTTTGAAGATCACCTCCTCCTCACTCTGGGCATTCCTGACTTCAATTGAAAATTACCAAGGCATTGAAACGATATTAATTTGAAATAATTATCCTAATCCATATTATGTCTCATTTTTCATTCTATTAGTTTTCTTTAAAAATATCATAATATTTAAAATAATTGTTTCTTTCTTGTTGATTTTATCGTTTCATATACATGAAGATGTATAGAACAAAAGCAAAAGCTATTTTAAGAATTAATTAATATTTTCAATTTATCACATCATCTATCATAATCTAATGAGGTCATCTCTTTTTGTTTTATATTTATCCTTGACATCTCTAGTTCTTATGATTCAATATGTTAATATATACGGTGTCCAATAAGTCATGAAACAGACACACTAAAAATTGAATATCTCCATTATGTTTCGACCAAATGGGCTCATTTTTTTTTAACCAAAGATAGAGGCATGTTCACACTCCAGATCCGTATGGATGAGATTAGCGGGAAGCTATGGCAAGCATATTGTTTTCTTTTTCTATCTGTGAACAAGTAAAATTTGCTTGTTGAGGTCAATAGTGGTATTTAACAAAACTTCTCACTGATCTTGTCCGTATGAATTTGGAGTGTGAAAATACTTCTATTCTTGGTAAAAAAAAAAAATGAGCCCGTTTGGTCGAGCTATAATGGAGATATTCAATTTTTAGTAAGTCTGTTTCATGACTTACTGGACATCCTATATTAATAGAAGTTTGATATATTTCATCTATATATAGAGAGTATAAAAATATGTCCTATGAGAATTTTCAATTTCTTTTCAAAAGAGAAAAAAAAACTGATGTGTTTGTTCTATACTTTTCTTTTTCTTTTCTATTTTATTATTTGTGTAACTACTGGGTTTTCTCTTTATTATTTGAAGTCTAACATACAAATAATGATGAAATATTGACAATAATCACAAATATAGAAAGATATTTGTTATGTGTATGCGTCATAGAAATAGCAATAGAAACATCAAAAAAAAAAAGAAATAATAATAATAATAATAATGATAGAAAAGAACGAGAGAACCGCCTGTTGCTATCGTCATGTTAAAAAACATCAATAAATAATAAAAATTATATTTTCATTTTTTTTTCTCGACGCAATATAAATAAAAAAAGAAATTATAATAATAATTATGAAAATCTTCTTACGTGATGCTTTTTTTTTATATTTAATTACATCAAAATTCTGTCAAATTATAAATGACTTCACCTTCAACTTTTGTATTCATTGAAACACACTTCATCGTTCGATTAATAATACGTGCTTATTATTTCATGCATAGTATTGTTTTTATTAATTAGACAAATTAATATTTCTCGTGCTTATCAACTAGTTCAAGTACAACAGAAACTCGTTGAAATTACCAACAAATCGATAGGCAGACAGAAGATGAACTTGCTTTCAGTTATATTATGCATTTTCCTTTTTTTTTTTCTTCTCGTCTACGAGTGCATATGTTTGTGTGCACCAGCCGTAGAATCAAGTGACGAGAACAATTTACTTGTCAAAAAAACAAGGTAGCTCTCTCGACCGATGTCGTTTATTCCTGCAAACGTTCCTTTTTCTTGAAAAATGACTTGTTCACGTCGTTTTTTTTTTTTTTTTGAAATAAACTTAGATGTGCTATATGTTATATGCAAGTGT